TAATAACGTGTAGTTATTGTGTAAAGCAGTATATACTAGGAATGATGAATAAAAATAAAAACTAGAATTGCACCTGAGCTACATGGTAATAACAGTTTAAGAACTCAGAAACAATACACTAACTTACTAAGTAATTACTATGTAAGTACTAAGTAATTAGAGGCCTGTAAAAGAAAGCGTTACCAATAATTGTACTTATTACGTTTTTATTTTTGTGTACTATGTTCTGTGTCAATATTCTTAGATTTTATTTTACACAACAAGATGTGACATTTTAACTATTTCATTTCACTTGTTTTAACTATGTGAAGCACATTGGGCTACCGTTGTGTGTATGAAATGGGCTGTATAATAAACTTGACTTGAGAGAGTTCACAATCGTGTTTTATTACTAAATGAGACACTCAGCTGAAACTGGGGGAAATATATGATGAATCTATTGAGTAACTTTAGTTACAGTTACTTTAAACCATCATCAACTGCTTTTATAAATATAGACAGGCCCACTATAACATAATAAGGTTTAAGCAGCTTTTCTAAGTTTTCACTGAATATTTGTGCCGACTTTCCACAACAGAATGACAGTAAAAGTACCGGAAACATCTTTAGATATTTATTTACCTCATTGAGAACAGATCCATACGCTTTTGCAAGTGTTTTTCGTCTTAATTTCAAATCTCTTATGTAACATTTGTAGGGGAAACGTGCCTAAAGCTCTTGTACGAATCTGAAACAACCAATCTTCTTTGGGTTACGACGGACCTGTCTAATTCCTGGGAAACCCGTTTTTGACCAACACTTGAACTACACCCCTAAAGAACACAAGCCTCGGGAAACATCAGTGAAGGCTGAAACTGAAAGGAGACAAAGCTGCTGTAGTTCTGGACAGAAAACGGTATCTGGAGGGAATTTTGATGATTTTACGAACTTTACGCTCCAACCGCTGCGAAACGTTGAAGCAACTGTAGTAGCGGCTACCGCAGCGTTTTTGACTAGCTGTCTCCATACAAGGAATAATTAAATGAATACCCAAACCTGGTAAAGACAAACGATTTCTAAATCTAAGACCAATAACTTAAACACAGATTATAAAATCCTGACAACTGCATTGGCTACTAGATTGAAAAAGGGTTTATTACAAGTTATTAGTCCAACTCAATCAGGTTTTTTAAAAGGAAGATCAATACACAATAATATTTGTATGGTTCTTGATATTATGGATTACAAATCTTTGTTCCCAGATGACGGATTGATCTTATTCTTGGATTTTACGAAAGCATTTGACTCTGCTGAACACAGGTTTATATTTAAAGCCCTACAATTCTTTGGCTTTGGTGAAAAATTCTTAAATATAATCGCTATGTTACATAAAGATATTAATAGTTCTGTTTCACTCTCTAATGGAACCTGCCCTAGATTTCAAATTTCAAGAGGAATCAGACAAGGATGCAGTCTTTCCCCCCTCTTATTCATTTTAGTCACTGAGCTGCTCACTATTCATCTAAAGTCCAAGGTCTAAATATAAATGATAATTCTATCCTAGTTAGTCAATTAGCGGATGATACAACCCTGTTCTTAAAAGACAGAAACCAAATCCCAACAGCTTTAAAAACAATTAAATTATTTTCAGAGGCATCAGGACTAAATCTCAATATTGATAAATGTGAACTAATAAAAATACATGAAGGCCCGGAGACCTCCTTGTTTAACATCCCAGTTAAAAAAGAAGTCTGCTATCTAGGAATTTATATTACAAATGTTCCAAGTGATAGAAACCAGAAGAACTTTCTGAACACAGTAGAAAAAAACAACAAGAAAAATTTAAACAGTTGGCTTCAAAGAGATCTGACAGTATTTGGAAGAACTCTTCTAGCAAAGATGGAATCCATTTCTAGACTGATATACCTGCTCAATCATTGGCCATATCTCCTAAAATTATTAAAGAAATAAATAAAATGAATTTTGATTTTTATATGGAAGAACAAAAATCACTACATTCGAAAAAAGTGATTTAATTAAGAATTATGAAGATGGTGGTATAAAAGCTATAGATTTTGAAATTTTGAATGGAGTATTAAAAATTAAATGGCTTAAATCCTTCTTAATAGAGAGGAAATTTGGCATACAATTCCGAAATTTATATTTGAAAAAGTTGGAGGAATGGAATTCCTATTAAGATGTGATTTTGAAATCCCGAAGTTGCCTCTCAAACTTTCTGAATTCCACAGACAAGTCCTTTTTTTTGGAAAAATGGTTTTCAAACATAGCTTCAGCCCACATGTTCCGGTATGGAATAATAGAACTATTTTGGATAGAACCAAAACCATATTTGTAAAAAGTTGGATGAACAGACAGAGGAATTTGGTCAGTGACACATATTTTAGACGAAAATGGAAATATTCTTTCACTTAGGAACTTCAATCCCAAATATGATGTTGACATTTCTGAAAATGAATATAATAAGGTGATTAAAAATATCCCAAGTGCTGTGGTTCATCTAGTTAAAGCTTCTATCGGTTATATATTTAACCCTAGACTCAAAATATTAGCAGTTGATGGGATAGAAATTTTCAATAAAAAATGTAATAATATTTTCCTGAGAAACAAATTAAACAAAACCTTTTATCCAAACCCAATACTCCGATTCTCGTTACTACATAACTTTTCAAAAGAAGAAATTAAAATTTTGAGAATCAACTATCGAAAATTCTCTTTACCCCCAAAGTATAAAGAAGTCCATTTTAAAACCTTGAATGATATTTACCCATCTAACCATTTTATACAAACTAGATTTAAGTTCAATGTGGATAAATGTTACTTATGCAAACAAAACGATGAATCGACCAAACATCTTTTCTATGAATATTAGAAAATTTTAATGATGTGGAATTCACTCCAGGATTGGCTGAACTCCAATCAAATTTATATAAACAATTTCACAGTTGAAGATATCTTATTTGGCATTATACTAAAAGATAAAAATAATGATTTTCTAATTAATAATTTCATAATCATAACAAAATTTTTCATACACAAATGCCGATATCTCAAAAATCCACCTACGTGGAATAATCTCAAAAATGAAATTAAACTGTCGAGATCCTTAGGTAAAATGTCCACCCCCAATGCGAAAAAGCTTTATAATTTCATTATTAACACTAATCTCTAACCGCTTTTTGGATATACACAATAGACCTTGTTTGCTCTTTAACTTCCCCCTTGTAAAACTTTTATTTATATACACATATAATTTGTGTTTTCATGCTGTCTTACTTGTATTCTTTCATGTTCTATTTTTGTCTTGAATTTTTATTTATTTATTTATTTTTTGTTTATTGTCTTCCTACCATACCAAGTTGAATTGTATCTACAAAATGCAAGTTGAGATGAACACTGACTTCAGAGCTACTCTGTAATGTCATTCTGCTAACAAATTTTGAAATGTAGTCGCTTTTGTTCGTTTTGCAAATGTTCAATAAAAGTTCTTAAAAAAAAAAGACTAGCTGTCTCCGTGACCGTGATTGGTCAGATGACGACTCGTGACCCACTAACAAAGATGGTTTGTGAAGAGGATGAACACTCCTCGTTTTTGTGAAACTGATTCTGAAACCCGACCAAGTACTCACCTTCCTAAAACAAAATCTCTGATTCCTCTGAACGTTATATGTAGCTTCATAAACAGCAATTTTCACCAAAAAGCGTCAACTTTGCACGTTTGAGACGTCATACTGGTAGGGTTGGGCATCGTTTGATTTTGTACGATTCTGATTCCTCGTTTCAATTCCAGTTCCTATCGATTCCGATTCTTTGAAGACATGACATGTTTACATGAGCCAGCTAACCACAGGTCCTACTTGATGAAATAATCTTAACTTCAACATGAATTTTAACTCTCTGAACAACAACGTGCACCTTCATGCCACCACAGAGAAGCCGCTCTAGCATGATGACTTTAATTATTCTACAGGTTATTGTTCAGCCTTCTCACACACACACACACACACACACACGCGCGCGCTCACACACACACACACACACACACACGAGTGTTGGTGGGCGGCTGCGTCTGACTGCTGACGCTCCGTGTGTGTTTTTATTTCTGCAGTGAGACAAACTCACCTCACACCGTCCAGAGTTTGTTCTTTAGGCTTCTATTAAATCCACCGTGTTGACGTATTTAACACGTTTCCTCTACGCTGCAGGAGTTAAAGTTTACATCACGGAGTAAAAGTTCAGCAGACACGTTTGTTTATATCTGGGTGGGGGGAGGGGGGACTCGTGCTCCACACAGACAGCTGCTGTGATCAGCTCTGAAAAATGATGATCACAATTTGCAGATCACGTTTATTTTTCACGGAGATCGGCCGCGGATTCCTCTTCCGTCTGCATTTGGTCCCGGTTCCAGTCGATGCTCGACACCCAACCCTACATACTGGACATTCAAAATGCTGGGAAGACTTTCGCTTTCGGCTGTTCCCTTCAGGCATCAACAAAGTAAGTCACTGGTCTCCATTGTTTCCCAGTTGGCCAGTAGCCGTCCCAGTTTACAGTGTAGTCAGACAAAAGCGCGGATCGCCAGCCGACATAGAAAGATATGCTAATAGAGGTTATGCAGGGTGAAGTTAGCCTGCCGGCCGAGGCATCGCCTGCCTGCTCCGTCCCGGGAAAAGCGTTGCTAGCAGCTGCATATTGAGGGAGTAAACAACGTAAAATAAGAGCAACGCTGCTACTTTTAAATACTTTCATAATATAAACATGTTTATTCATCAGTGTGCTTCCTAAACTAGGGAAAGTGAAACTTAAAAGGACAACTTGAATGTGTTTTCTTATTTTAATGCTATTTTTATTTTATTTGAATGAAGTATTGGATCGGGACTCGGTATCAGCAGATGCTCTAAATCACGATCAGGAGCAGGAAAACGCGATCGGAACATCCCTAATCATCCTCACTCCATCTTGACTTTTTGATGTCCGTAACTTCACAGATTATCAGACACAAGTCCTCTCAAGCCTCTTTATTCTCAGCACCGCTTCCTAAACATTTTACAGGATTCTTCTGCAAAATGCCAGTCCACAGCTCTGAGCGGGGGAAGGGCGGATTTGAGCAGAGAAGGCTGCTGATTGGTTAGCAGGCACAAGGCGTGGTGGCGCCCACAGTTAGCCCTTTGCTCAAGAGGAATGCTTCTTGTTTGGGTTCCCGCCCGAGGAACTTCTTCAACATCTCGGAGGCGTCCTCGGAGCCGCCGGGCTGCAGGATGAACTTCCTGTAGTCCAGACCCACCTGAGGGACCAATCAGGAGACAGAAAGTCTGCATCAGTCACATTTACAGTTATTGTCTGAACTAAAAAAAAGAAATACGCAACATTGTAAAAAACTGTGGAAACAAACGATCAACCGATTTTCAGGACCTGGACACGATAACTGTTGAAACCATCATAGAATCTGTCATTGAACCATTCACTTACATTTGTAATCTATTACTTTCTACTGGAAAATTTCCTGATGCAATGAAAACAGCAAAAGTCATTCCTTTGTACAAGAGTGGTGATAAACATAGTTTCAATAATTACAGGCCGGTGTCACTGCTTCCACAGTTTTCTAAAATATTGGAAAAAGTATTTGTATCAAGGTTGGATAAATTCATGGAAAAAATAATATTTTAAACAATGAACAATATGGGTTTAGAACTAAACATTCCACCGCAATGGCAATAATGGAATTAACGGATAAAATATCAACAGCAATTGACAATAAAGATGACTGTTAGTGTTTTCATTGATTTGAAAAAAGCTTTTGCGGTCATTGATCACTCAAGGTTACTTCGAAAATTAAGTCAGTATGGAATAAGAGGTGTGGCTCATCAATGGGTTAGAACTTATTTAGAAAAAAGGAAACAGTTTGTTCAGATAATGGACCATAAATCAAAATTATGTGGTATTAATTGCGGAGTGCCACAAGGGTCGGTCCTCGGACCAAAACTGTTCATTTTGTTTATTAACGACTTGGTAAATGTATCTAAGACACTCGGTACCATTCTGTTTGCAGATGATACAACACTGTTTTACTCAGGATCAAATATTGAGGAGGTGGCTAAAGTGATAAATGATGAACTGATTAAAATTAAAAACTGGTTTGATATAAATAGATTGACACTGAATTTTAATCAAACAAATTTTATACTGTTTAATAATAAAAAGAACAGTGATGTGTCATTGGAAATAGATGGGATTGAAATTCAAAGAGTAAAAGAAACTAAATTTCTTGGAGTTCTTATTGATGAAGACTTGTCATGGAAATCCCTTTTTAGTTACAGAAAAGGTAAAATTGCCAAATCCTTAGGAGTATTACATAAAGTCAAGTTTTTACTGACTAATTCTGGTTTGTTGGCATTGTACAATTCACTGATTGTTCCATACTTGACTTATTGTGTAGACATCTGGGGAGCAACATACAAAAACTATACACAACCCTTATTTATTTTACAGAAAAGAGCTCTGAGAATCATCAATTATAGTGGCTGTAGAGATCCATCCAAACCGTTGTTTATTAAATACAAATTACTGAAATTTCATGATTTAAAAGACGGGAAAATCATACAAACCGTGTATAAAGCCAATTTAGGTACTCTGCCAACAAACAATCAGGGGATATTTGAAAAGAGAACCAGTAACTACATGTTGAAAGAAACTGATGTGTTTACAAAACCTAGATTTAGAACTAAAATTAAGGAGTGGAATATATCTGTAAATGGTGTTAAATTATGGAATAACCTTAAAAGGGAATTTAAAAACTGTTATTTAATATATTCAAAAATGTACCAAATTGAGTTTACTAAATAATTATGAAAATGTAAATTAAATCAATGATCATGATCGCTCTGGAATGAAGAACAGGAAACAGTTTAAAATGAATGTGTGTGTGTCTGACTAATGGTAATTGTATATAAATAGATTATTTCTACTGGAAAAGGGGCAGAAATTATAAGATGGTTTTCTTCATTCTGCTCCTTTTTGTTCAAATTAGATTTTTTTGTTGTTATGTATTTCTTATTGTTTATATGTTTTGTTTGTTTTTATTTTGAATGAAATAAAAATAAAACAAAAAATGCTTTTCCTGAAAGAGAGAAACAAACAGCTTCTATAGGGACCCTGATCACTGGCAGCGATTGTGGTGACTGATGAGTGACCAGCAGAGGCCTCAACATTTCTGCAGACCTGGGTTTTGTTAGGAAACTAAAACTAGAAATTGGCTCCGGTGATTTTATTTTTCAGACACATCTAAACCAAACCTCTGATGTTATGATTAGACTCCATTTTATTGTGAAGGGACATTCCTGCTGCAGCTGGCTGAAGGTGTGGTGTGTCAGAGCTCACCCGGGGGTTCATGATGCCCTCCTGTTTGAAGCGGGCGTAGAACATGTCCATGGAGAAGACTTCGCTCCACAAGTAGCCGTAGTACTGCGCGTCATAGCCGCCTGCCAGATGTCCGAAGGTGGCTGGCATGTTGGTTTCTGTGAGACAGGAGTGCAGGTATGTGTGATGTCACTTCCTGGTAACGGTTGAGTCCCAATGGCTGGACTGGATTTTCTAGACTAAAGCCGTTGTGTGGGTCGTAGAACTGTTCGGGTTTGGTGACGAGAAAAACACGAGCGTTCGTGATATTTTTAAGGTGCTGAACGCTCGTTTAATCAACTCTAGTAGAAGTGTGTGTGTGTGTGTTGACCTGGAGATGGGGGGATTCCTAAGATGTCCACACATAGGCGTTCGTACTCCTCTGCAGGATCCAGTCCAGTCCTGGTGTGCAGAGCTTGATCCACTTTGGCCAGAACGATCTGCCGCAGATTGAACAGACCTGCAATCAGAATCAGAAAAAAGCTTTATTACCAGTGCTCCAGCGTCACGAAGCATAGGAACTTGACTCCGCAGCACAGCCTGACCAAGGTTACACACACACACATGTAGACAAAACAGATACAGGCAGACCACGAGAGCTGCCATGAACGGCACTCATTTCATTTAGATGAAAAGGGGACTACATGAGGATAAATTGGGGGAGGGAAAAAGGCATTCCAGAGTTACTCCCGACAGGGAGCAGCTTTGCTATGCAAAAAAACACCTCAAACATATAAACACGAACATCAACAGTTCACAACATGAGACTCCAATGGGGGGGTGTCTTGGATCCTGTTTCCCCCAGCGAGAGCAGCCATCCAAGGCGCTCTTCTACTGTACAGTCACAGGTGGGAGGGAGATCTTGGGAGAAGCAAAGAGCACATTGACTCCTCCAGTTGATGACCTCGCCAGGCTGAAGTCCACCAATCCGAAGGCAAGGGGGGTAGGTCGGGTTTTGACAGCATCTGTCTGCGTTCCTTCGTGGGGGTTTTAGTTGCTCGCAGCTCAAGGCTACCAGGGCGTCAGATTCAGATAACAAGACTTTGTTTGGGTCTCTGCCTTCAGTCTTTAAACTGATCCTTCCAGTCCTTCAGTGAAGCCAATTTTGGGTTTTTAAACTTGTCCATACGGTCCGGTGACTCTCTCCGAGATGACATCCATTTTGCGCACTAATACCGGTATCGCAGCTAGAACATTGTCCAGCTTACGATTCACCTTGAGTAACGTCCCAGTCTGAGAAGTCTCCACATGGACGGTGCTTTCCGTGGGTGCGGGTTGCCCTCCAATCGCTCCCGTCTTCCCAAATTTCCAGAAAACCAGATATCCTCCCACTCCAATCAGGAGAAATCCAGTGATCATCAGGCCAAATATCCACACGCCTTCGATGTCCTCAATGGACAGCTGGCTGAGGCATACGATCTTCCACTCCTTCCAGGAATCCAGCATATACCCCGCCGGGTGTGTGCCCTGTGGGCATGTGGGAGCCCCCTGCTCCGTTCTCATTGTTGAAAAAATCTCATCGATCGCATTGAATGACCAGTTTATCAAATCCATGGTTAGTAAAAATAGAGTTTTTCAGAAGAAATGCAGAGAAGCGCTCTGTGGGCCGACAGGACAAAGAGCCTTGGGAAAAAAGATAAGGGAGACAAAGAGGGAAGCGTCTGTACTCCTCGAGTGCCTTGAAGAAAAAAGAGTCACATGACACATGTCACATGACAAAGGTCACAGGTCACTGTCTGTGTGACAGCAATGTCTTTATTCATGAAAACCCACTAAACTACAAAGAAGTAACAATGTGTGACAGATCGCTGCAACATCCAAACTTTTGCTGTGAACTCGGTCTCGCTGGTCCACAGCTGCGCTCCGTGACAGCTCAGCTTCCTGTGTCCCTCTGCAGCAAAACGCTACTGAAGCATCCTTATCGGCTGAATATGTGAGATTTCCACCAACAGCAAAGGGATCTCATGTTTGTGTGTTTTATCTTTTATGTTCGTGAGCTCATCTCCTCTCAGCTCTCACAGATCACAGAATCACGGTTTTCACTATTTATCTGATGGTCTAAAAAGGAAGTTTACTTATTTTAAGCATAACTCCGGTTTAACTTGGGCTGTTCACGGAAATAAGAACTAGTGTGTAGTTTATAATCCACATTTTAAACATAAATCAAAACGAAGCTCAGAGAGGCGGAGTCTTGCTGCTGCGGCGTCCCAAAGGTGTGTTTTCATTGGTTGGTTGCAGACGGGAGTCGTAGGTTTTCAAGCAAGCTTGTAGACTGTTGGAGGCTGATTTGGTTATGAGACGGCTCAAAAAGCTGTCGCAGAGCCGGTCACACTGTACGTTCACAGCATGGTGCTCAGACATGCAAATCGCCCTGACGATCGTTTTCTGTCACAATCCTGCTCAGGACGAGGGATTTGGCTGAGAAAGACAAAAATCGCAGTGTGCTCCGCATGGACGTCACTAGGACTGAGATATGGGGGGGCTTAGCCCCAGGAGCTTGACCTTGAACGTTTTTTGTCACACCCTGCAAAAACTTTGTCAATTAATTCATATATGAAGAACATTTAACAAAACCTATTATTTGATCACTTTCTTTTCCTTTCCTACCTTTGTGCATTTTCTCTCTTCTTTTTATAAAAATAACACTTAATCAGTTCATTAGTGGGGTCTATGTTGAAGAAAGATTTTATGTAAGTCCATTAAAAATTAGATATGTTATATTTCCAAATAAAGCTATTCATTTCAGTCTACTGCACTTAACAGGGGCAAATGTTGTAGTCATTTATTTAATTTGTTTACTTACAACTTGTTTAATTATAAATGTTACTGAAATGTGACAATAAAGAACAAATGAATAATTATCAAACTTTTATTCTGCCAAATGAGTGTGCAGTTGACAGTTTTAATATATGAATAACACTGCTATGATATGGAATAAAGGAGTGTGTAATTAACTATTACAAGACAAAAAAATAACAGTATATATAAAAATATCCAGCAAGTAGTAGAACTTATAATACAGAAAGTCAACTATACAGATACAACTTGACATAAGGTTGCAGGTCACATGATAATTATAGTTGTTTTTATCTCAAGGTCTCTTACCTGTTCACTCCTAAATAGAAAACTGTTCCAATTTTGCTTGGGAACTTTGTGCTCAGGTAAATGCTCATAACGGTGCGCTCGCCCCTGATTTCTCTGTAGATCACTGACCTTGACCATGCAGATCTCCTCAGCATCAACCACCTGATCTCTCTCCTGTTCCTCACTCACTCTCTTAAAAAAGTCTTCGTATATCCATCTAGCCAACACACTGAAAAACATTTTCAATTTCTAATGCCAGAACAAATGCTACTATGCCATTTAGTTTTCACTCACAATAACTGAAACAGCCATTGGTGGATAGATGGTACAGAATATGGACAACTGTTAGCCTAATATAGCCCATGTTTGGTTGCTCATGATGATGGCATTTTCCATAACGTCACATTAAGCTGCCAAAATTTATGCTAAAGTTAGACGAGTACAATATCTCCTTTCTTTCCCATAGGTAAACATAGGAAATATTAAGCAATTGACAACCCACATGGAGAGAATTCATATAAACATATAGGTTTTAATATATGTTTTGATGTAGCTTTTGAATATATGTGACATGTATAAAACTGGCTGTTTACTATATTATAGATACATAATAGTCAATAATATTCCAACTCCAACCCAAACTCAGCTCAGAAAACCCCTAAAACACTCTGTGTGAGGAGTTTGCAGCCCCCTTCAGAGGGAAGGTAGACACCATCAGATGTAACATCCTCCCAACGTAACGTGGTTTTAGACACATCTGAGAGTCTACCTGAGGAAACACTGGACAGGTCTGTCCTGGTTGAAGCTGACAGTCTAGATCAAGTTTTCTCCTCAGTGAGAGCCACCACATGTGTCCTGGACCCTATTCCCACAAGGTTTTTTAAACACGTCTATGATTCTTTTAGAGATGAGGTTTTAACTATGATGAACGGCTCCCTTCAGACGGGGTCTTTCCTGCTGCTTTTAAACGGGCGGTGGTGAGGCCCCTGCTGAAGAAGAGCAATTTAGATTTTAATGATTTAAACAATTATCCACAGGTGTCCAACTTACCATTTTTAAGCAAAATTTTAGAAAAGCTTGTTTTAATTCAACTCAATGATTTTATCAACACCCATAATGTTTTAGAGAAATTTCAGTCTGGTCTTAGGGTGAACCACAGCACCGAGACGGCCCTTCTGAAGATTTTAAATGATTTTAGAGTAAATTATGACAAACGGAGGGTGACGGTGTTGGTTCTACTGGATCTAAGTGCTGTCTTTGACACAGCAGACCACACTGTTCTTTTAACTCGTTTGAAACGGATCGGCCTCTCTGGTGCTGTTCACCAATGGTTCACTTCCTACCTCACAGACAGGACTTTTATGGTGAATTTGGATACCTGTTCCTCTAGGGTTCATGGGATTACATGTGGTGTGCCCCAGGGTTCAGTTTTAGGCCCAGTGCTTTTTAACCTTCATATGCTCCCTCTTGGCAGGGTCATCAGGAGACACGGGGTGAATTTCCACAGTTACGCTGATGATACACAGCTGTACATCTCTGTGTCTCCCGATGACACACGGCCAATAGACACACTTTTTTATTGCATTTTTGACATCAAATCCTGGATGGCAGAAACTTTCTCCAGCTAAACCAGGACAAAACTGAAGTTTTAGTTATCGGTCCTGAGGCCCAGAGAGAGAGAGAAGCTTTTACCAAAATTACAATCACTGTCTCTTAATCCATCTGAACAAGTGAAGAACCTGGGTGTCATCTTTGACTCTGAGCTGACTTTTATCCATCATATTAAAAGTATCACCAAAATAGGTTTTTATCATCTAAAGAACATCGCCAGAGTCCGCCCCGTTCTCTCTCGGGCCGATACGGAGACACTGATGCGTGCTTTTATCACCAGTAGGATAGACTACTGCAATGCCCTGCTTTCTGCTCTTCCTAAAAAGAGGATTTCAGGTCTACAACTTCTACAAAACTCAGCAGCACGTGTCCTGACGAAGACCAGGAGGCGGGAGCACATTACTCCAGTTTTAGAATCACTGCATTGGCTCCCCGTATGTTTCAGGATTCATTTTAAATACTTTTAACAGTGTTTAAGTGTCTTAACGGTCTTGGGCCTTCTTATCTTTCAGAACTGCTTTTACCGTATGAACCCACGCGGTCTCTGCACTCCTCTGGCAGCCGTCTCCTTGTCATCCCTAGTCAGGACACATATTCACGGCGAGGCGTCCTAACAGGACTACGGTCCTCGCCTCTGGAACGAGCACCTGGAGGACCTCAGGGCTGCAGAGGACGTTCATGGTTTTAGAAACAGGCTCAAGACTCATCTTTTTATCTTAGCTCTTAACTGAATACTCTCACTTTTTAAATTAATTAATTACTTAGTTTATTCATGTATCTATTTTTTTATTTATTTCATGTACTCTTTCTTCATACGTGCTTTTTAATTTTTTTTACCATAAATTTATGATCAACATTATTTTAATATCTATATAACTTTTTATATTACAATTCTCATTTTAGCTCTTTGGATTTTATATTTTTAACCTTAATTTAACCTTTTTCCAGTGTTTCCTCTGTGGGAGCCCTCTGCCCCGGCGGCGGAGGTCGGCTGTGGCGGTCTGGGTGCTTTCCATGTGTGCCTGGGTGGTGGTGGGGGTCTCTGCCCTCCCTGCCCTGGGCGCCCGGTGTCAGTGCCTCGGCTGCTGCTGTGGATCTGCTGCTGCCGGGGCGGATGGCTCCCCTGATGGTTTCCTTATCCTTATCTTAGCTGGTCTGGCTCATCTGATCTCAGCCCATCGTGTTTTGTTTTTACCATGGGGAAGGGGGCATGTATGAATGTGTGCGTGTGTGTGTGTGTGTGTGTGTGTGTGTGTGTGTGGGTGTGTGTGTGTGGGTGGAGGAGTGTTGTGAAGGTTTTTTTATTGTCAGACTGTTTTTAAAATTCTGGCGATGGGAGGGAATGTGTGGCCTTTTTAATTTGTTAAGCACTTTGAGTTGCATGTATTGCAGGATTAAGTGCTGTATAAATAAAGTTGATTGACTGATTGATGATTGATTCCGGGCACGTCCAGCCGGGAGGAGACCTAAAGAAAGGCCAAGGGCACATTGGAGGGACAATGTCTCTCACCTGGCCAGGGAGAGTCTTGGGATTCCCCCAGAAGAGCTGGCTCAAGTAGCTGGGGAGAGAGGTCTGGACCTCTCGACTTAGGCTACTGCCCCCGTGACCCGACTCCGCATAAGCAGAAGAAAATGGATGGATGGACGGATGGACGGACGATATCGTTCTTTCGGTCACTACCCAAAGCTCGTGACCATAGGTGAGGGTAGGAAAGTAGATCGACCGGTAAATCGAGATTTTCGCCTCCCAGCTCAGCTCTCTTCACCACGACAGACCGGTACAACGCCCGCATCACTGCAGACGCAGCACCAATCCGCCATTCACGAAACAGCTGACACAAAAGAATAATTGGAACCTTCCAACTACCAGACTAATGACATCTATTTTCAGCTTCAGAAACATCCTCCAGAAAATTGGTTTCCACTGAAACAGGAACCCGATCAGAGAGTTTAAGAGCTGAAGCTGGTTCTGTATAAACTCCAGGTGGTGGTGAGCTAATACCAGAACTCCAACGCTACGTACCGGTGTTGGCCAGCCGGGACTTGATGAGCTTGTCAAGCAGCTCGTCTGGGATGGGCTTCCCGGTCTTGTAGTGTTTGGACATCCTCTGCAGAGGTTCCTTCTCCCAGACCCAATTCTCCAGCATCTGAGATGGAGCCTCGACAAAGTCCCGCTCCACGTGCGTCCCACTGAACATGGCATAGTCAGCCTGCAGACACAAGAGCTTCCCATCACTATTTAACTCCAACCCGTCTGCAGAGAGACGGGACAGAACCGTCCACTTACCTGAGCGCAGAGCTGGTGCATGACGTGTCCGAACTCGTGGAAGTACGTCTCCACCTCATCGTGCTGCAGCAGAGATGGTGCGTCGGCTGTCGGCTTGCTGAAATTGGCCACCATGGCTGCCACAGACATCTGCCGAGTTCCGCTGGGCAGCAGGCAGCCAGGCTGCAGGCCAAAGCAGGCGGCATGACCGTACTTCCCCTCCCTGCATGGAGAACCAAGACCAGCTCAGAAAGGACCAAAGGTGGACTTGCTGCACAAACATTTGGTTAGGGTTCATCTCTGCAGATCTTCTACATTTACTGATTCTGTCCTTTAGGTGAACTTTGTGAGAGGCGGTTCTGACCGAGGGAAGAGGTCCAGGTAGAACTGTCCGACCATCTGACCACTGCTGCGGTCTTTTACACAGTACAAGGTGACGTCAGGATGCCAGACCGGAGCCGAGTCCACCAAGTGGAACGTCAGACCCAGCAGCTCCTGATAGATGTCTAGTAGACCCTGAGTAACCACTTCCATCGGGAAGTACTCCTTCAGCAGGTTCTGATCCACCGCATACTGGGTCTCCTCCACCTGAAAAGCACAAGGGGGACAATCTGATTGGCTCCTCCTAACAGATAAGCATCAGCATCCGCAACAAGCTGAGGACAGAGGACACATCTCACCTGAGTCATGAAGTAACGAGTGTCCCACGCGTGGAGTTTCCCATCAAAAGTAAAGCCTCGCTTTTCACACTCCTTCTCCTTCAGCCAGAGGAGGGCTGCTCGCTCCTCCTCACCCAGAGGCTTCAGCTTCCGGGCTAGGTCCTCTGAAAGATGGAGGAGGAGGGGTGAGCGGTGGAGGAATCTAGCTGAAATGGACCATCGCGGTTCTGGACTCACCCAGGAACCCGGCCACCTGCTTCCCAGACTTGGCCATGTTCATCTCCAGGACAAAGTCAGCATGAGTAACGAACCCCAGCAGAGAACTCTTCTGAGCTCTGAGCTTCACCAGCTGCTTTAGGATCTCAGAGTTCTCCTGCAAACACAGAGGGAGGAGGAGGGGCTTCTTGGTCCAGATCTGCTCAGGTACCAGGACCGAAACCGATCTTCCTCACTGAAGAAAAAGGAGAAACTAGAGGGCAGCCACCCTGAGGAATCTCCTCCTGCTCACCTCCTTGCAGCGGGAGTTGAAGGCCTCCTCCAGCTTCCTGCGAGTTTCTGGGACAAAACATTTCTTCATGGTGGGGAAGTAGTGAGGATACTTCAGTGTGATCTTCAATTTGTCTCCATTCTTCTCCAGAGAGTTCAAGAAGTCCTCAGGAAGTCCCCCTGAAACGGGTTCAGCGTTAGCCTGTAAACCATACACGGCCTGCATCTGTACAGCGCCTTTCAGAGTCCGAGGACTCCAAAGTGCTTTACACTACAGTGCATCATTCATCCATTCACTCCCTGGTGATGAGCTACAATGTAGCCACAGCTGCCCTGAGGTGCACTCACAGACGTACAGTTGCTGTTCAGACCAGCAGGTGAGGAGGGTTACGTGTCTTGCCCAAGGACACAATAGCAGCATGTACGTAGCTGGGATGGATCCTACAACCCTCAGATTACTGGACCGGCTGCTCTACCTCCTGAGCTGTTGCTGCTCTTGTAGTCCTGGACTTACCCAGCTCGTCTCTGGTGAAGGTCAGGCTGGTTGTGTCCTCATTAAGGTTCTTATTGAAGTCTATGCACAGGTTGCTCAGTTTCTTCTTGATGCTCTTGATTTCCTGTTTGATGATAAAAATCATAGATTTGATGTAAAAGCACCTTTAAAGACCGCCAAGGACACGTTAGAACACAGCAGATAAAACAGAGCAAGGACAACAGAAGCACTGAACACCAAGACGGTAGATGGTTTAGGCTCGTCTGAACAGGTGGGTTATTAAAAGTGGAAGAGAACGAGTGGGGGAGAGATTTCCAGAGGTGGGGAGCAGACCAGCTGGGTGCTCTACTCCCCATGGTGACGAGGCGGTCGGGGGAGCAGCAGAGGAGTGGTGAACAAGATCATAAATGTAAAATGGAGCCAGGTTCTGAAGAGCTTTGAAGATGATGATTATAAACTGACTGACTGATGGGAAGCCAGTGTAGTTGTTGCAGGACGGGGTGATGTGACCAGGCTGTGGACAAGGGTGCATTTTAACGCATGCGTAACTCATTATCAGTCTGGATGCCGTGGAGTAATCATCTCCTCTGACTGCAGCTCAGAACCACCGCTCCAGCCGAGGAGCACACAGTAGTCTCAATGAGACGGCAGGAAGCTGTCCTATCAGAGTCTCCTAAAGAAACGATGCTCATGGCCGCCTTTGATTAACGATGTGGGGGGGACAACCCTCCACGTGGTCAGAGACACCTGCGTTCCTTAGAGGGCTATGTTAACACAAGCTGGCCGTGCGGGGGTGGGCAGACGCTACCAAGACTGGACCGGGCCAGGCTGCTCGTTTATTTATGATGAGATGGTTAAGTGGAGAGGCTTCAGACTCTGGGTGGTTTTCCAAGGGACGATGCAGCCTGGAACGGTTCAGCACAGCATGGGTAAAGTCTGCTCACCTGAGCGTGGTTGTGTTTCCCAGCTAGCGAAGTGTCCCCTCATGGTCTTTACTCCACACATGAACAGCACGAGGGGATCAGTAAACAGCGTAAGGTAGCTTGTACGCTCCACAGAAACAACTCAGCACAAAGATGGTGCTGTTGCTGGACTTTCTGCTCAGTTGTATGACTTTTTATCAGACCGAACCAGGAAATGGCAGCAGGCTGAAAATTCCAGGGCACCTAGTGACTCCGCCCCCTAGCCAATCAGCGGCCATAATCACGATGCTGGCCCGACTCAGCCTTGCCAGGCACCTCAAAGAGGCTGGCACTATAAATTGGGAAAAAGTAGAGGGAAAATACCGAACCGTGTCCTTGGGAACAGTGGTCGGGCTGAGCTGCACCGGTCCGAGTTAGTCTGAGTAGCGCTCCGGGACCAAGTCAGTCTACCTGGACCAACCCTCTTCATTTTTCTCTGGATTTCTTATTCACCATGGCTCTGGGTAGTTGTTTATAAATGTAGTTGGAGCGTGTCAAAGGTCAAGTTTTCATCAACATGAACAGAAATTAACTTTTCACTTAAACATCTTTGGTACGTTCTTACTGAGTCTAGTTTCTAATTCCAGTTTTGGTTCTTTTTAAAACACAGAAAGGTTTCTCTTTACCTCACTAACGTTTCGTTTGCGTCTGCAGACTTCCTCAGGCTGACGCTGATGGTGGCGTCACTTCCTACTCCATTTATCTGCGGGCAGCAGAGGACGTTGTCGCCCTCTGCTGCCCGCTCTCCCCTCTCAGACGATGCAGTCCCATGCGCGGTCCAGCGTGTAAACTCCATCGTCTCTGTTCATGGTCCCACATCCACGTCTCCTTATCTCGATTGCTTCTTTTATCCATCTTTTGTATTTCTGTTGTTCGGTGGTTATGATCCGTGTGTTGTCCCAGTCCATTACACGGTTTTCTCTTGTGCAGTGGTCTGTTACGGCTGACTTTTTTATTGTACTTTCTGCTTCTTCTTTTGCTGCTCTTGTGTGTTTTCCACTTGTTTCTTTCTTGCACTCCTTTCTATGTTCTATTGTTCGTGTGTTGAGTTGGCGTCCGGGTTCTCCTATGTATGTTTTACTGCAGAGTTTGCATGGGATTTTGTAAACGACTCCACATTTAAGTCCAGCTGGTATTTTGTCTTTTGGGTGTACTAGTCTGTTTCTAACTGTTGTGTATGGCTTTGTTGGTGTGTTTATGTTGTGTTTTTTCATTGTTGCTCTTATTTTTACTGTTACGCCTCTGATGTATGGTAGGGTTATCACTGGTTCTGGTTCTTGTCTTTCTGGGTTTCTGGTTCTTTGCTTTGGGTGTTCTTTTCTGTTGTTGTTTGTTGTTTTCCTTTGTTTATTGCCCATGTCGGGTATGCGCAGGTCTTTAAAGCGTGTTGTATGTGTTTGTCCTCTTGTTTACGGTCTCTCTCTTCTGTTATTATGTTTGCTCGGTGATAAAATGTTCTGATTACTGACATGTTGTGTATGGTGGGGTGTTCTGATGTCCATGATAGATATGGGTCTGTGTGTGTTGGTTTCCTGTATGTGTTTATGTTTAGGGTCCCGTCGGTCTGCCTGGTGATTTTCATATCCATAAATGCTATGCTGCCTTCTGTTTCTAACTCATAAGTGAACTTTATGTTGCCCGTGTCGTCAGTGTTATTCAAGTGTTGTGTTAGTGTTTCTGTTGGTCCTTTTGGTATGATTTATTTATTTTTTTATTTTTTTAGGAAGAGGGTCAATACATATTAATGAACATTTCAATAAATGTAAATATGCCAGATTATAGCCTTGGGCTAATTTCCTCCGGCAGGTTGATGTTAGACACAAAGTAGTGGAAACATACAGAGATAGTATTTACAAGTCATGTGACAGAGACAAAAACTGTCATCCCGTTATACTAACACAAACAAATGTCAAGGAAAGTGGACACAGAGGACAGCATAGATAACAATAACGGAAACACATCAATTATGTTGCACAAACCCCGATACTGCATATGCCCTGACGGTCGTGAGATTACATTCACCCATTACACTAGCAGTTGTTTCCCTTTTAATACTGTACCAACTCTTTTCCCGGACAAATAAAAATATAAGTATTAGACATGATCACATGTTTGTGCGTCCCTCAGCCGCCCTTTTAAAGATGTTTACACTGGTACTGAACTGTGAGCAGGCCCCCGTATGCGACATGAGAGTCAGCTTGGCCTGGTGGACACTGGTTGCTGTTTGGTTTACATCATTTTTGTTCTGTATCTCGATGGTCACCTTACACCTTTAGTTTCTAGTTTTAATATTCAATATTCCCCCTACTTAGTATTTCCTGGTTAGCTTTCTAACCTACTCCACATTACAGAAAATTCCTGTTACCTTACAATGTGTGTGGTACTTTGTATAAACCTGGTTTATGCGTCTGCACAGAGACCCACAACGCCACCATCCATCGTTCCAAGGGCTCTCCAGCAGGCTCGCAAGGACGGACGGAGTCGAGCCCACGTTTCTAAACATTCACTGAACGAGATGGAGAGCTCAAGCTTGTGATTGGTCAGGACTTCCTTTAAAGGCATCAACAGCATCGCCGTTGCTCCCTCAAATAACAAAGTGAGCCGACAATATCTAGTGGCAGACACGGAGCAGCTTGAAGAATACCTCGCATGGATAGGTTTTAGTCACCTGTGACTGGAGGAGTGAAAAGATACGTAGCAAGCATTTTCTTCCTGGATGGAAACAATGGGAAGTGTGGGTTTAGAGGTGGCGAGAGCATGAAGAGGTGGAGGAGAATGAAGGATTAGTCTGTCTGAGTTAAAAAGTCTCTTAAACGTAAAAAAACACAATATAAACTAAATGGATGGGATACATGACAGGATACCACAGAAAAGTGCTACGCCCTCTGGTGGCCTGGCAGGTAACTGCTTTTAAACACTCGTCAGGAGACGGAGAGGTCCGCCAGTCCTCTATTTTGTGGGGCAAAGACAGAAGCATAAACTAGGCTTTAATATTCCATGTTCTCTTGTAACTAGAAGTTCCTAGTTACCGTTCTTTAGTAATGCCCTGATACCTTCTCATACACTGTACTAGCTTTGCTGATTGGTTTACGTTATTACTGTACCCCCGGTCCTCTGATGGATTAGGTGTTACGGTTAGGGTCCCTAGCCTGATTTTCATGTTTGTTTATTTTCATTTGGATTTCCGGATGAGTTCAGTAATGTCTTGGACTAAGGGGAGGATTAAGCTGTGGGAGGTGGGGAGGGGGCGTGATGTCCACTCCAGTGTCTGAAGCACCCTGAAAGGTCAGGTGCTGATGGATGTCAAAGACTTTAAGTAGAAGATGGATGAAGGTGCAGATAAGATGGACATGAAATCAGAATTTCAGCAGAACTGTCTGGGCCAGACAGGATTACCAGGAAACTTCTAGGCAGGAGTGTGTCAGAACAAAGTTTAGGTTGTGGCTTCAACCTTTTTACAACCAAAACACCGTTTGAGCAGGAGAGCAAGCTGTTAGGATAACAAATGGGAAGCTGCTTCACCTCCTGCGTCTCCTTGGGCAGGTGGAGGCCATTCCTCCGCCCCAGTCGGATCAGTCGCTCCATGTAGCGCCTCGCCTCCGGAGAGATGCTTCCAGAATCTAGGATCTTCTGCAGAAGGAACAAAAAAGAAGCAAACCACTCTTCACTTATCATCATCATCATCATTATAGATCACAAAGCTGTTATTAAGCCAGTAGAAACCAAAACATTTACAAGACAAATCAGGAAACAAACGTCATCAGGAGATGAGTCTGGGGGCTCAATAGACACTGAATCTAAAACCGGAGTTTTCCTCTCCACTGTCGCTGCATGCTTGCTTAGTATGAGGATTGCTGTAAAGACTCCGACACTAGTCAGTGACTCGATGTGACCTGCTGGGTTCCTTATGTAGGAAACTTGTTACTGATCTGCTTAATGACCTGACCTGTGTTGTATGTTTACTTTGTGAAGGTCCTTGAGACGACTCCGGTCGTGATTTGGCGCTTTATAAAGAAAAAAGAGACGGGGCTCATGGATGAGGATAACTCCTAGCTTTAGGATCAAACATCACCAGTTTTTAAGGACCTGGAGGACCTACTGATTTATATAAACCAGTGTGCCAGTTGGTGGAAACCCTACGACATCATTTTACCTCCAGAGCGACGATCCTTTGGTAGACATCCTCCCTCATGCTCATCTCTACGTCGAACTCAGACAACTGCTTGTCGGCCTTGGTGCTTGCTGCACGGACCTCCTTACTGGGAGATACGTGTTGTGGGAAGTCCAGCATGTTCCTCTGTACTGAGACACGGAGGGCAGAGTCAACGTCAGTGGGGGTGGGCTTTTAAAAACCACAGGGGCTTGTGTAATTAGGGGAATATGGAGGAACACACACAAGGTTTCCATATCTCCAATAGGCTAGCAGCTTGGTGAGAAGAGATCAGCTGTTGGAATAATACAATCTCTCTCAACACGGGGCTATTTATGCAATATAATCACCAACACTATAAATGCTTACATGCACAGATGAACACACTATATATATTTATTTAACATTTATTCAGAGCAGTAACATTATGAGATGTGCCATCTCACTTTCATGGGGTCTTCTTAAACAAAACAGCAGCAGAACGCATCCATGAGCACACACCATTAATGAGAAGAACAATAATTTAAATAACTAAAAGAAAGATTACACCACACACACACACACACACACACACACACACACACACACACACACACACACACACACACACACACACACACACACACACACACACACACACACACACACACACACACACACACACACACACACACACACACACACACACACACACACACACACACACACACACACACACACACACACACACACACACACACACCAGCCCACATAGTTCAGTCCCCATCAGTTTCCAGTACAACATCACATCGAAGCAGAAACATGATGTTTTCTCCAAAGCGCGGTTCATCAGAGCACTGATGTGAACATTCTTTACTTTAACACTATGTGTAGAGTTATTCTGCATTGCCCCAATAGGACACATTACTGTGTGGTACCATACCATTGTATTTGTGAAGTGCTTTCAACACAGCAGTTACAGCTGACCAAAGAGCTGCACAATTGTTTTTTTATTTTATTTTATTTTTACCGTGTCCTGTCTGGCTGTGAAGCAAACAGAACTGATGTCTGAATGCTGGTGACAAGCCTTACAGATTTACTCTCAGGTGGAGCATCAAAGCGTCTGCTTTTAATGTCACGCCTGATACTTAAAACTTTATTGTTATTGTTTTTGAATGCTTTGTAATTCCGACCAGACACAGAGACAGAGGTGAAAGAGAAAGGAAGAGACAAAAGGTGGGTGGGGGGGGGGGGGTTCCACAAAAATAAACAATAATGAACAAGAGTCTGCTTCTAGACCTGCAGAAAGAGAAAGAATAGAAAAAAAGGGAAACACAACAATACATCAGGATCAAGCTATCACTGCGTCAACCTGATGATGAAATATAAAATCAACATAGTTTTACTGAACAATCACGATAATAAATCATAGTGCATTTAGTGGCAACCACAGCCTTAAGACCAGTGTTGAACGTGCCCAAGCCCATACTTATGAGAGCACCATGTGAGCACCTGTGTGTGTACACGCGCTTGTTTATGTAAGGTTTCTCTATAGGAGCGTCCAACAGAGAGTGTGAGGGGCCACAGATCTGCCCCCCAAAGATGTGTAGGAGACGGGGGGAGCTCCAAGTCCCAGAGATCCAGGAGCTGCCCCAGAGCACAGGAACCCCAAGGAGACTGCAAACAGAAAGGCCCCCGCCCCCCTCGAGAGACACAGAGGATCGCCCCGGGTGGCCACAACCAGCAGCCGGCAGAGTCCCGGGAGATATCAGCGGCAAGCCCACAGGCCCGCCCGCAGCCTCCCACCCCCTAGCCGGCCGAGCCCGCGACCCAGGGGTGACCACCAGGGGCGCAGATAGGATTTTTAAACTGGGGGGGGACAAAGTTCCAACACACACACACACACACACACACACACACACACACACACACACACACAATTGCAAGCACCTTAACTAGAGCTCAGTCAGTTTGTGTAATTTCATCCAACGGTTTACGTAAAAACTAACTTTTATATACGTGTTTGAAGCCGTTATGCAACCAAGCTCTGCCTGATCAACACTATAAATGATAAAAGACCCGCGCACTTGTGTAGCGCCTCTCAGAGTAAGGACTCCAAAGCTCTTTACATTACAATGTATCATTCACCCATTCACACACACATTCACACACTGATGGTGATAGGCTACGATGTAGCCACAGCTGCCCTGAGGCGCACTGACAGAGGCGCCCCACTATTTAATTCAGTCATTTGTTATTCTTCCATTCAATTACTAACCAAAACCTCGTGTTTTATGCTAAACATTAAATGGTTTTCAGCGTACCGATCTTTACAGAAAACATAAAAGCCTAAAAAACTGCACATAAAATATTATAAGAAACAATATTCACTTATCACTTAGAGCAGTGGTTCCCAAACTTTTCAGCCTGACCAACAGATGTTCCTTCATATTTTTACGTTATTTATAAATTTTCATTATATTTGGAAAGTTTTTAATTATACATAAATCTCTTTTTAAATTTTATATTTTACTTTTTTTATGATTATGTGGCACACTTGACTTCCATATCTAACGCATCGGCATCTGCCTCTTTTTACGGCTTTTTTTTTTTTTACATTGTCGCTACGTCTATCACGTTAGCGGTGTTTTTACCATCGTTTCTACATCCATCACGTCCCAGAGAAGGTGAAACCAACATCAAACCCAACATTGGGAGCTTGTAAACTCCACACACCTCTCGTGCAGCACCAGCTGTCTGATGCTGCAGCAGCGTCAATCTTCCCGGCTGGATGAGTGAATTTCTTCATCAGAGTCAATATTCTGCTTCATAATCAGAGTCAGTCATGACCACACAAAGTGATCAGTCAACAAAGACCAGACCTGCCGGCAATTATACGTTTTATCTCATATTTACGCTCTTCATGTTGCACGCGTCTCCTCCTCTCCCCGACTGGGAGCCTCTCGGCGGGAGGCGATTTTCAAACTCTAAAAACTCCCAAACTTTGCTCATCCTGAAGGTTCCACATCTCCACTATCTTCTGGTGTAAAGTAGTAACTTCATGAGGGATCATGTTTGTAGATGAGACTTGTTAAAGTCAGCAATGAGGCTTTGGCGCTTATAACGAGTAAGTCCCAACACCGACAACAACAACGTACTGAAACTAGAACCAACACGCATAAACAGACAGATCGGTCCCGCCTACTTACACTGTTGGTCTTTTTTAAATACGCAGTAATCATTGCTTGCCTTTTTCCCTTCATCCTGCATCCTAGCAGCAACCACTTGGCGCCTCTGGAGTCGGTGTTTGTTTACATCATGCTGCATTCAATGTAATTGGAAAAAAGAGCTTCAAGCGCTTAACCTCCGATTTTGTTTTCTTTCTCGCCTTAGTTGGGGGGACAGATCAGGGTAGATCTGAATCTGGGGGGGACAGATCCCCCCCCCCGTCCCCCACCCTATATGCACGCCTGGTGACCACCCCCGCCGGGGACCCAGCAGAGCCCAGGGACCCAGACCCCACCAGGCAGCCACCGGGATTGATCAGGCAGACGCCAAAAATCTTAAACTCCCTGACCCCGGGAGCCACGACCCAGGCAGACCAAGGCACCACACCCCACACCAGGTGTGGCAGGGGGAGGGGGGACGAAGATCTATATCATCAAAAGAAGTCCCAGGAGAGGGGAGGAGTCAAAGGCCCCACCTGACATATACAGTCATACACAAACACAGTCACACACTCCCTCCCTCATGCTCACACATGCACATACAACCCAAGACTTACAAAAATGCACGCCGGACACCCACTCATGCTCCCCATACACACCCTATTCACTCTGGTCCCGGTACTGCTGCACATGGGGTACAACCATCACCGGTTACCAGAGTTCGACTCTTCCTGCTGGGGTGCTGATGAGCAGGCTCCCCCGCCCAACGCTGAGCACAGCAACCCACCACCCCAGACCCCAACCAGACCTCCCTCCTAGCCTCCAGCCCCAGGAAGCCAAGCGACCTGATAAAAATGTTAAGCTAAAAATGTTAACGTACAGCCCTGCATTTTATCTAGCGAGTCAGTGGTTCTCAGCACTCAGTAATTTCGTTGCTTCGTGTGGGCAACATCAGCTGGGTTTAGCCCAGCTGATGTTGCCCAGGGGTGGGAATGAGGGGGTCCCTGCAGCCTCTGGACAAAGCAGCCGCTGCATCAGCTGCTTTCTCTAAAAAGCATGGATGAGTTTTTCTGCTGAATCAGCTCCGTCACAGAGACACAATGCCTGACCTGAACCTGATATCCATGTGACTAGATGGAATATTAGGAGAAAAGATTGCACGTTTTGGTTAAATTACCTTCAAGTCAAACCTTAATTGTATATTTTATTTTTATATATCAAAAATTCTTAAACACTCAGATTCCTCATCGTGTATTTATTTATACTTTAACTCCTGTCAAGAAATTTGTTTCTTTAACTGAATGAACCTCTGTGGTGAGGAAGGAGCCTGAGTGGCTGAAAGGTGAGAGATGTAATGGTTGTGGTCCATCTACAATTGAGAAACACTATATTATATGGGCAACCGTGGCACAGGAGCTAAGTGGTCGCCCCGTAATCAGAAGGTTGCAGGTTCGAGCCCCGCTCAGTTTGTCACTGTCGTTGTGTCCTTGGGCAAGACAAGTGTGTGTGTGTTGACAAGTAATTAACATTGTGCCCACATTTTTTAAGTTAACACACCTTTCTTTTAACAACGGTAGTTTTTGCATCTTTACTGTTCCCCTGCTCAAATCAATAAAACACCTACTGCATAATCACCATTATCTATTGCAGTAGCTACGTCTTCCAGTAGAGCCATAATAGCAGTGATAGTGGATCGATTTGAGCAACATCTATACCGATGTTCACTAACAAATTTCAAAATTGTCAAGCTTATTAACAAATAGTTTTGCTAAGATAGTGGAGAATTGTGGTAAAAGTTGGATCGGTCTATAGTTCTCAAATATATGTTTATTAAAAAAGGACTAATTGCAGATATACGTAAATGGTTTAACCACATAATGTAGTTTCTTTCACGATCATGTTGATATCAAAATAATCAGTTGATTTTTGACATTTTAACGTCAATAAATGTATTTTCAGAATCAGAATCAGAAAAAGCTTTATTGCCAGCGCTCCAGCGACCCAGAGCATAGATGCCGCGCCTCCACACGGCCCAAAATTTCCGCACCTAGGAAATTTTCTAACCACACGGATGGTCGGACACGGAAAAACATGGCAGAC